GCGTGGCTACGCCCATTTTCAAAAAAATGTTAATATTCTTATTTTTCGTCTAAAATTTATTATAAATATCAATTTTGAGTAGTTACTAAAATATCGCAGTTTTCGTATTTCTGAAAATTACCGTTATATGGGAGGTAGGCGTGGTTATTGTCCGATTTTGCCCATTTTCAATACCATCCGTCCTACGCCCGAAAGAAGGACACGTACCAAGTTTCGTTAAGATATCTTAATTTTTACTCGAGTTAACGTGTGCACAGACGGACGGACAGACGGACGGACGGACGGACAGACAGTCACCGCTTAATCGATTTCTCTTTTCATTCTGTTCATTTATGTATACATTTGTCTATATCTATCTCGATTTGTTTTGCCTGTTACAAACAACCGTTATGTGAACAAAGTTATAATACCCTTGTGCACGAGTGCGCTCGGGTATAAAAATTTTGGCGGCACTAAGAAAGCAGTAAATTATGGCATAATGTAGAAGTATATGGAGTGCAATGGGGTATAGTCATTGCGCTGGGTATGCAGTTACAGTTGCATGGCTATACTCAATCCCGACTCTTGCGTCCTCGTTCGCGCACTCTGGGCAACGTGAGCAACCCATGTGCGAGATGCGGTAACCAATCCGAGTGGAGCCTTGGGTCACGGCAGAAAGAGAGGGAGCTTCGGTGGGGCCACTCTGACTTATTCGGTTTAAGGGCTCACTGAAGTCTGCAGCGTCTGTTCACCAGTAGGTGCGGCTGCAAGCGGGTGTCTGCTTGGAGCAAGCGGCTCGCTATATAAACGTGTATTTGGTTGCGAAACCACCCCCGTCCCAGCAATGGGTTGTGCGCTGGGCTTGGGACCCGCCACGTAAAAACCACTTCCAGTGAAGAAGCAAGGCAAAGCCTCGGATGAGACCCCCCCTTATGATGACGACCACGGCAAATGTTTAAAGGACTACGATTTGAGGGCATGCACCTGGAATGTCCGGACCCTTAATGGGGAAGGTGCCTCTGCCCGGCTGGTTGATGTCCTCGTAAGGACAAAAGCTGACATCACCGCCATCCAAGAAATGCGTTGGACGGGGCAAGGCAAAGAATGTCTGGGGCCTTGCGACGTCTACTACAGCTGCCATGTAAAGGAGCGCAAATTCGGAGTTGGATTTGTGGTGGGAGAGAGACTCCGTCGCCGAGTACTGTCGTTCACCCCGGTGGACGAGCGTCTAGCCACAATCCGCATCAAAGCGAGATTCTTCAACATCTCGCTCATCTGCGCCCATGCCCCGACGGAAGAGAAGGATGAGACATCCAAGGATCTCTTCTATGAGCGCTTGGAGCGCACGTACGAGCGCTGCCCCCGTCATGATATCAAAATCGTGCTTGGCGACTTCAATGCCAGGGTGGGCAAAGAAGGGATCTTTGGAACCACCATCGGAAAATTCAGCCTCCACGACGAAACGTCCGACAACGGATTGAGGCTGATCGACTTCGCCGGGGCCCGAAACATGGTAGTATGCAGTACTAGGTTCAAGCATAAAAAGATCCATCAAGCTACCTGGCTGTCTCCGGATCGAAAAACGAGAAACCAAATCGATCATGTTGTGATAGACGGAAGGCACGCTTCCAGTGTTTTAGACGTACGCACACTCCGAGGCCCAAACATCGACTCGGACCACTATCTTGTTGCAGCCAAGATACGCACCCGCCTATGTGCAGCAAAAAATGTGCGCCCAAATATGCAAGGAAAGCTTAACGTCGAAAAGCTGCAATCACAACAGACAGCCAGCGCTTTCGCTACTCGACTCTCACACCTGCTCTCAGAGAGCACTCTTCAACAAACCGACATATGCGAGCAGTGGAACCACATTTCCCGCTCATTAAGTACCGCCGCCGAAGAAGTAGTCGGATTTCAGCGAGCCCGAAAGAACAACTGGTACGATGAGGAGTGTCAGGAAGCTGCAGAGAAAAAAGATGCCGCCTACAGGGCCACGCTGCGATCGGGCGCAACGCGCGCTATGTGGGACCGCTATAGGGATCTGAAGAGGGAAGCGAGACGTATTTGCCGCAACAAGAAGAGAGAGGCAGAAATACGTGAGTGCGAAGAGCTTGAAATGCTGGCCGACAGGAGGAATGCCCGAAAATTTTACCAGAGAGTTAGGCGACTTACGGAAGGTTTAAAGACCGGGGCGCACTCCTGTAAGAACAATAATGGCGACCTAGTAACTGATGTCCAGAGCGTACTTAAATTATGGAGGGAACACTTTTCCGCCCTACTAAATGGCAGCAGCACAGAAAGTTGTGGAGAAGAAGAACCCGAGCCCGCAGTCGATGATGACGGAGTCGACGTTCCACCGCCTGACTATGACGAGGTACGTATAGCAATAACGCGGCTGAAAAACAACAAAGCCGCTGGAGCTGACAGCCTGCCAGCTGAGCTATTCAAGTACGGCGGCGAGGAGTTGATAAGGTGCATGCATCAACTCTTGTGCAGAATATGGTCAGATGAACGCATGCCCGACGACTGGAATTTAAGTGTGCTCTGCCCAATCCACAAGAAAGGTGACCCCGCCATTCGCGCCAACTACCGCGGGATCAGCCTTCTAAGCATAGGTTACAAGGTCTTATCGAGCGTATTGTGTGAAAGACTGAAGCCCACCGTCAATGAACTGATTGGGCCTTATCAGTGTGGCTTTAGACCTGGCAAATCCACCATAGACCAGGTATTCACAATACGCCAAATCTTGGAAAAGACCCGCGAGAAAAGGATCGACACTCACCACCTATTTGTCGACTTTAAAGCCGCTTTTGACAGCACTAAAAGGAGTTGCCTATACGCCGCTATGTCTGAATTTGGCATCCCCTCAAAACTCATACGGCTGTGTAAAATGACGTTGAGCAATACCACCAGCTCCGTCAGAATTGGAAAAGACCTCTCCAAGCCGTTCGCCACAAAACAGGGTTTCAGACAGGGCGACTCCCTTTCATGTGACTTCTTTAATCTGATGTTGGAGAAGATAATAAGAGCTGCAGAACTGAACCGCTCAGGAACAATTTACTACAAGAGCGTGCAATTGCTGGCTTATGCCGATGACATCGACATCATCGGTAACAAAAACCGCGAAGTCTGTTCTGCCTTTTCCAAGTTGGATAGGGAAGCAAAGCGCATGGGTCTGGTGGTAAACGAGGACAAGACGAAGTATCTCCTGTCATCAAACAAACAGTCAGCACATTCGCGCCTTGGCACCCACGTCACTGTTGACAGTTACAATTTCGAGAAAGTAGAGAATTTCGTTTACTTGGGAACCAGCATTAACACCGATAATAATGTCAGCATTGAAATCCAACGTAGAATCACTCTTGCCAACAAGTGCTACTTTGGACTGAGTAGGCAATTCAGGAGTAAAGTCCTCTCTCGACGTACGAAAACCACGCTCTATAAGTCACTCATCATGCCCGTGCTGGTATATGGCGCAGAAGCATGGACAATGACAACATCCGATGAGGCGGCTCTTGGGGTGTTTGAGAGAAAGATTTTGCGGAAGATTTACGGTCCTTTACGCGTTGGCGACGGCGAGTACCGCAGACGATGGAACGATGAGCTGTATGAGCTTTACAACGATATGGACATAGTGCAGCGAATTAAAATACAGCGGCTCCGCTGGCTTGGCCATGTCGTTCGAATGGACACCGACGCTCCAGCTCTGAAAGTATTCAACTCGGAACCCGCTGGTGGTAGCAGAGGAAGAGGGAGGCCCCCACTGCGATGGAAAGATCAGGTGGAGAAGGACTTGGCTTCACTTGGCGTTTCCAATTGGCGTCAGTTGGCACAGAGGAGAAACGACTGGCGTGCTTTGCTGAACTCGGCCAAAATCGCTTAGGCGGTTACAGCGCCAAAAAAAGAAAAAAAAAGAAAGAAAGTAGAAGTATATGCGCTTTTTGGTTCCATAGGTATTGATAGCGCAATGCTTACTTCAGCTTAAGAGATGGGCACTACATGTTTTTACCAAAATTTACAGATAAAAAAAAATTTTTATCGGCATACATTGGAACTAAATAAGCACTTGATTAGGGCATATGTGCCAAACTAATCGGTGAAAGTTTAAGTGATTATTTCAGGGTTTATCTGTATGCGTGTGTTTTATACATATCTATGTGCATATGCTAGTATTAGGAAATTATTATATATTAATTTTTTAGATGAAAAAAGTAGATAGAAAATTACAAGATAAAAATATTTAAGTATAATTTAATAAAAAGTTTAAGATGGTAGAGAAACTGATGCAACATATCGCTAGCTTATCGCGAAAATGTGCTAAGTTCATTTTTTCGACTTTAAAAGGAGAGAATAAACCTTTCAATCTCAATTTATTCAGCCTTTTTTTTCGTAAAAATTTAATTGCACGATTTCGCCTATTCCAACCGAAAAGTCTAAATAAATTCATATTCCACAACGCGGATGAAAATTTTTGTATTCTATGACTATTTCGGACTTATCCAATTCGCTTATCACTGAATAGAAACGGTTAGAAATAAAATACGTTGCTTCTCGCATCAGTAAATATTTTTTTTGGAAAGGGTGGACCTAGCTACATTTCAATATAAGCTAGCGATACGTAAGTTCGCTTGAGTTTTAAAATGACGTGGAAAAAAATATAATCTACTTCACAGCCTCAGTGATAAAATATCGTCACCATTATGCCAGAAGCATGAATGTGCAAACTTATCATTTTTGAGCTATTGGGTTGACTTGATTAACCATTGGATGCTCTATATTTTAGCAAAATCCAGAATAACATGCGTTCACGGAAACCAAATATTTTAAAATTTCAATTGCATAAACGCAGTTAAGTCTAGTAAAAAAAAACTTTCATACTTAATTTCTCAAAATGTTAATTTTTACAAATTCATGTTTCTGGCATACGGGCGACGGTATATATTTCCAAAGTTTTATATTGAAAATTGCAGTATGTAGGATAGAGGAATAAAAAAATTTTACAGTCACATCTTCGCACGTACCCATAACCCAATGTCATCGGGCTGTTTGTCATCACTGAAGAAATACCGGTGGCAACGCTGTTGTTGAAATCGATAATGTCAGTCATATTATCATTGCTGCTTCCATTAATGCCACCACCGGAATCGTTATTGCTACATACCCCAACATTAGCAGTGCCACCAGGGACGGAAGTAGACATTATTGCTGCCGCTGTTGCTGCTGCGGTTGTACGCTGTGGTCGTTGTTTATAAAATTCAATCTCGTCTACCGCCCAAACAGCGCCTTTGACGTTCTCAACGCGCATGAAGCATTTATGCAGTGACAAATTGTGCCTCACAGCATTCTATGGCTAATTATTTAGGAGTCTTGTTGTCATGGTGTTCATTTATAAGTGTAAGTACACAATACATATGTAACAGGCGCGCACCCACAAGTCGTTTCGGAAAAAAGATACATGCAAGCGTATTTACCTTAATATGTGCAGTAGACTGATTCAAACAAACCGCCTAACTTTTTTTTAATAGCCCCCTCTTAATATGTCCGTAGGGATGTCAAAAGATGCCTGTTAGAAGCACAACCCTTAAAATTAAGTTTAAAAGGTCGCGCATCGCGGATTTTTATTTTCCAAATAAATTACTGAGAAAAAAATTATTTTCAACTTTGGAATTTGTTTTCT